AAGTCAGGTTTGATTTCACTGACTACTGCTTAATCTTTGCTTTAAGCTCGTTGCTGTGTTTCAAGTCAGGTTTCATTTCATTTGTATTTTAAATTGAAGACATCCATTTAGTGTTCAGTGGACAAGTTTAGTTATATAATTTGCAAACATTTGTCCTTTGAATCAGGGAATGAAGATAATATCTACGTCTCGTCAGGAAAGGAAATCAACTGTTTTGATGTGCGTCTGGTAAGCATTTATGGGCGGCAAAGATGTTTGAATCCAGTACTTTTTATTTCCTTTTACTGGAAACCCTTCTCTCCTTATATTACTAGCAGGCACCTGGCATCCCATTTATTGCATTATTCATTTTCATTTCAAGGATGCGTACATTGTTTATAAGGATCATTAATTACTATACTGATCCTATGTATACTATGTTCTGTTCTGAAGGCCGCTGCCAAATGGGAGCCACTGGAGAATTATAATTATAACAAAGAGGAGATAAACAAGGTAGACACTAGATAGTAGGACTTGTATTCAAATATAATGTTATTCATTTACTTGATCTTGTTGGATGTTCCTACTGATTTTGGGTGTACCAAAATCTGAACTCTGAAGTGTTTTATCCCCTATCTATAGCTTGATTACTGTAACAACCAATCAATTGAGTAATCAAAAGTTTATTATGCGTGGTTGTATCTTGTGCGTTCTTGTTTCGTAAAGGATATTGAAATTGTTAAACTAGATTACTTCATTATACCTGAACTTATAGTCACTTGTATACTACTCTATTCTATTGCATATTAATATCCTTGTTTAGAGGTTCCCTTCATTTGTTAAAATATGCTTATATATTACAATTATATGTATGATTTTGCAGGTTACATGCAACTCAAGGTCCTCGTTTCTTGCTGCAGCAGATGATAGTGGCGAGGTGAAGGTATGCCTCATATTTATTCATGTTCTGCATTCTAACTTTTCCTTGTGTAATACATACCACATTTATCGTCATATATAAATATATCTTTTTCCACTTTCAATGTGTTAGAGATTTGAAAGCCATTCATGAGCTTGATCTAATGCTATAGCTTAAGCTTTTGAGATGATCAATTGGTCCTTCATTTGGTACTTGAATTTATGTGACCAATGCTATGAATTCAATCTAAAATGATGTAAATTGCAGTAAAAGGTTTATGAGTCCATTTGTTGTTCACACTTCAAGTTGCCTTCAACTCAAAGGGATCTTACATGGGGTGAGTGGGTTAGGTGATAGGAACTGGACCAGAAGAACAAAAAAAATTATAGAAATTAGAAGTAAATATATCTCTTGGACACAGATATAAGGTGATAGGAACTGGACCAGAAGAACAAAAAAAATTATAGAAATTAGAAGTAAATATATCTCTTGGACACAGATATAAGGTGATAGGAACTGGACCAGAAGAACAAAAAAAATTATAGAAATTAGAAGTAAATATATCTCTTGGACACATATAAGGTGATAGGAACTGGACCAGTAGAACAAAAAAAATTATAGAAATTAGAAGTAAATATATCTCTTGGACACATCTTGTGTTTCCTATTGACCGAGAGTCTTGATGTAAAGGTTGAAGTTGCTGCTGCAATGTGATTAGGTGGTCAAAGGTTCGAGTTATGTACCCAGTTTCTTGCAGTTGCAAGATTAGAGTGTCTATAGTAGACTTAAAACAGGCCTGACTCTTCCCTAGACCCTCTTGCTAGAAATTTGTAACATCAGGTTGCCCTTTTTATCTTGTTATTTCCTAGGGTGACATTTACTAAAATTTCTAACTATTGATCTTTCAAAGAGACTCCTAGTAATGTTAATATGTTTTCTAATAAGAAACCTTAAGCTTGTATTGTATTCTAAAAGCTTCAATACTTGCCACAAAACATGGTTACTTACAGTTTGTTTATACTATGTATTATTTAGAAACTGTTTTTGTTTCTTTTCCTCTGTACTGTGATTTATTGTTTTGTATGCACTTTTGATTTACTTATTTCTTTTAATTTCAGAATAAGCTGTGTTTATGTTGCATTCTACATTTTTATTTTCTTTAATATTGACTGGAATTTCTCTGACAGATAATTGACATAAAGCAGCATTGCCTTTACAAAACATTGAGAGCCGAAACTGGTCATACAAGTGTATCCTTATTGCTTTTTAGCTGTTCTTTACTACATGGCTGCTAATTACATAAATTAGAAGTTTTCAAACCAATTAATATTTCTTCTTTCCACTTTTTGTCCAGTATTTTCTCCTATTGTTTTATGTTCTTGTATAATTAATTAATGGGTAATTTGATATCTTGATATTGTCTATTTCACCTTGACCTTGTGTTGTAGATATGTAGCACTGTGGAATTCCTTCCTTGGCGATCTTGGGAAGGTAGTCAAACAACACCTAGCATAACTTATGCTAGTCTTCTAGAAACCTGAATTAATTATTTATAGAAAGATAACTCATATGCTTGTTTTCTCCCAGTAATTAGTGGTGGTCTCGATTCAACTCTTGTGCTGTGGGAATTCTCCAAAGCTCGCCCCTACAAAGTAGTCAACTTCGGTATATTTTTCTGTAAATGTCTTTGTATTTATTAATTTAAGTTTTGAACGAGATGACTAGAATCATCTAATTCATACCCTTTTATTTTTGCCATTTGATATTTGCAATAACACAACTTTTCACATCTTTTACTTATTTTGTTTGTGCAACAAGCAAAAGAAAATTTTGTTCCATAGTGGAATTCTATTATTTTTTATATGCTGGTTTTTTCTCTTTTATACTTGCTAATGCATACATATACATAAAACTTATAATAGTAATATAGAAAGGGGTAACCCAGTGCACGAGGCTCCCATTTTATGGGCTCTGGGGAGGTCGGATGTACGCAGCCTTACCCATGTTTTTATAACAGAGGCTGTTTCCAGCAGGGTTCAAACCCATGACCCCAGGATCGCAATGGAACAACCTTACCGTTGAACCAAGTGAATGAGAAACTACCCAGTTTACTAATGTCATCTTTTCTTCACTGCAGGTACTGTAAGTAATAGCGGGGCTGGGCAGTGTTTCAACCCTTCCTTGATTCATGCAATAGCTGTTCCAGAAATTGACATGGTAGATAAATTAGGCAAGGTATGTGCTGTTGCAGGGGGTGGAGTTATTAATGTGATTGATATTGAATCAGAAATCGCTGCTGTAAGATCAAAAAGCTCTTCGAATACACGAAAAGGATCACAATCAAGATTAAAAGACGGTAGTTCGACTAGCAATACAGATGCAGATCATAATGTAAAAAAAAGGTTGCATTTTGATTACAGTATGGGTGGCCATACTTCAGCTGTTTCTAGCCTGTGAGTTCACTTTCTTATCTCTAATTAAGAAACTGTTGGACTAATTTCACTCTTCCCCTAATTGATCTGGGTGACACAGGGCATTTTCGTTGTTTGGGGAAAGAGGGAAGTTCTTAATATCCGGGGGAAATGATAAGTTGGTGAAGGTATGGAACTGGTCGAGTTATACTGATGCTGGGTCAAGTGACAGTAACAAGGATATCCTACATTTGAACATTGGTGTACCTCAGAAGGTGAATTTTGCAGAATATTTCATAGTAACTTTCCGGGTGCCTTTTTCTGTTTCTGTGAAATTTGTCTATTATGTGATCGCTTATATATTTTATTTCACAGGTCAATTGGCTATGTACCACCTCAGCTGATACAGACAACCTTGTTGTGTGCGACACATCTAAAACCGTAAAAGTCTATTCTGTAACATAGTTTCAAGCTGAGTATTCCTGGAGAGCAATCAAAACAATTTATGTTGCGTGTGAAAGATCATGCTCCCTGACATGAAAAACTTAGAAGCACAAAGGATTTTAGTCTGGATATTCCTGCTTAAATTATGTAGCATCATAGTTTTTTAGGTTTTATGTGTGTTTTAATGCACCAAGAAGTAATTTTAATGTAATAGTGTTGTTCTTTCATGAATTTTGATTGATGTTTTTAAAAAAGATATTTTGGTAGATTAACTGATCGACCAGTGTTATTTACATTGAGCAAAATGTTCGATTTATTGGTGAAACGTGTGCGAAATTGAGATGCACAACTTGTAATTTCTTAGAGTCGGGGTCTTATGTCATTCATCATGGATTTAGTGATTTAATGTGACCAATTGTCGCAACAATTTGGTACCGCGAATCAACAATTGTTAGATCATCTATCTAATTGATTTTTGATTAACCTCAAAAAATCAAATTGGTTTGTTTGATACATACGGATCATTATAGGGTGTGTTCTGTAAGCTAAGTATATATCTTTTCATAATCATGACTCGTTTGTCCCTTATGCATTGTTTAGATGTTGTGGCCTATCTATCATGTTTGCATCATCGAGAGAACCATAGTTTTATGACAATGACTGGAGGAATCAATATTTGTGTGCATCATTATATAATGCATTTATTGTTTTTTTTATTTATAAAAAAAGTAACAACTACTACTATTAAATAAAAAATAATACTAGAGAAACAACCATTGTGAAAGTGACAAATAAAACTAGATAGAGAGAACATACCCAAAAAATTAAAAATAGATATAGAGAACTAGTTGTATGAAGATCATAATATATAAGCTAATATGATTTTTTTTTTTTGAAAAAGGTATTAAATTGATGTAGTTTTGAAATCTGAAAGATGTACCTCTTGCAAGTATCCACTGTATGAAGCCTTCATAATGGAGAATTTCCCGCAATAAATTAAAACATTGTTCATTTCATCATTCTAAAAATTGATGTTGCTTCTTAACTCTGTCTTTCTCAGCTGCTACCTTTGTGAAACCATGACACTAACAACTCAACCTCAAAAAATAACTCGCCACCCTTTACACACTACTACAAAAACCGCATTCTCAAACTACTCACTCAACACACTCATGCTATTTCATATAAATGCCATATGAGCACAGATTGAGAATATAGTCAGAGATATTATACTGCTGAGCCAAAAAATGATGCAATCTGGTGCTCCCCTCTGCAACATATGTGGGGAACAACTTTTGCTTAGTGAGAATGGTGAAAGGTTTGTGGCTTGTCATGACTGTAATTATCCAATTTGTAAGGCATGTTTTGAACATGAAATCAACGAGGGACATAGTGTCTGCTTGAACTGTGGCACTCCCTATGAAGGTGATCTTTTCATGTGCACATTATACTTGTTTAATACATGTTTATTTTTGTTAAATATGCTATGCTAAAGTATGTTTCCTTCTGTATTTTTTTGTAGGAAGAACAAAGGATGGCGACGATGATGATGATGGCAACAACGACAGTGATGTCATTGAGGTTCACGAAAATCCATCCACAGTTGCTTCCCAGATCAATAACTCTGAGGTAGTGAGTTTCTATGAATTATTAGATGATACGGAACGGCCTTTGTTTTTGGCAGCAATAGGATTTTTTAGGGGAAATATGGACTTGGTATATGTATTTTCTCCGAATATTGTGAAGTTATTAGAATCGGTAATTTACTAATTACAAACATTGGTTTGAATTTTGTAGGATGTTGGAGGACTTCATGCTAGACATGTTAGTGCAGTTTCGAAGGTTGATAGTGGTAAATGAGAGACTCTAGAACACATATTGTGGTAAAGTTTAGTTAGAAATAATCGTTGATAATAACAATATTGTCTTTCTTGTAGAAGAAGTAACTGAAGAATCTGGAAATTCAACGTGGAAAAAACGAATGAAAAGCTGGAAAGGGAAGGGGAAGGATAAAAAAAACAAGAATAAAAAGGCTGTACCTAAGGCTGAAAGTGAGGCTGCAGTTCCATCAGAGCAGCAGATGGAAGAAGTAAGGTAAGTTCATTGAGAAATGAAATAAAGTTTTATCTTCTACTCGCGGATTTTAGTAGTTAATTGTTCATCAAACTGTTGTAAGCATCAGATTGTACCTGAAAAATTGTTGATTTTTTCCTTCATATGTTTCATGCATTTATGACATTTCTTGGCAATTCATATTGAATTTGCATGATCTGCTTTGCAGGTCTACGGAGGCCGCTGCTCTTCCGCTTTCTGTAGTTGTGCCAATAGTAAAATCAAAACTCGCACCATACAGAACTGTGATAATCGTGCGGCTAATAATATTGGGTCTTTTCTTCCACTATCGTGTTACAAATCCTGTTGAAAGTGCTTTTCCTCTGTGGTTGACATCTATCATATGTGAGATTTGGTTCGCATTTTCCTGGGTGTTGGATCAGTTCCCTAAATGGTCTCCGGTTAATAGACACACTTTCATCGAAAACTTGTCTGCAAGGTAAGTGCACAAATCATATATTGAAATTCTTGAATGAAATATTGTTTAACACTATGATACGATCATGCGGGTATGAGTAAAATGTTTAATACTGTGATGTAACCAGGTTTGAAAGAGAGGGTGAATCTTCTGGACTTGCTTCTGTTGATTTCTTTGTCAGTACGGTCGATCCTTTGAAAGAACCACCGTTGATTACAGCTAATACAGTGCTTTCTATCCTCGCGGTTGACTATCCCGTAGATAAAGTATCTTGTTATGTGTCAGATGATGGAGCAGCAATGCTCACATTTGAATCTCTTGTGGAGACAGCTGAGTTTGCAAGGAAGTGGGTGCCATTTTGCAAAAAGTTTTCAATTGAACCAAGAGCACCTGAGTTTTACTTCTCACAAAAGATTGACTACCTGAAAGACAAAGTGCAACCTTCTTTTGTGAAGGAACGTAGAGCAATGAAGGTAAGCACGTGAAGCTTCCTCGACTTATTTGTAACTTCACTAATTGGTTAACCGACTCATTTGTCTTTCAATTCTGTCAGAGAGAATATGAAGAGTATAAAGTACGAGTAAATGCTATGGTATCTAAGGCTCAGAAAACACCAGAAGAAGGATGGACTATGCAAGACGGAACACCTTGGCCTGGCAATAATTCGCGTGATCACCCTGGAATGATTCAGGTATATCGTTATTTTTAATATCTGTGTGTAATCAATTCTCAATGCTAAATTTCTTCCAGGTCTTCCTCGGACACACTGGTGCCCGTGATATCGAAGGAAATGAGCTTCCTAGGCTGGTTTATGTTTCTAGAGAGAAAAGACCAGGATACCAACACCACAAGAAAGCAGGTGCTGAAAATGCGCTGGTATGTATTCGATACCTTTAATATTTAATATAAGGTCATTAAGATTTTATAATGCCTGATGTTTGTATGGATTTACGCAGGTGAGGGTGTCTGCAGTTCTCACAAATGCTCCTTTCATTCTCAATCTTGACTGTGATCATTATGTTAACAACAGTAAGGCTGTTCGAGAAGCTATGTGTTTTCTCATGGATCCAGAAGTTGGTAGAGATGTTTGTTATGTACAGTTCCCCCAAAGATTTGATGGTATTGATCGTAGTGATCGGTATGCCAATCGCAATACAGTTTTCTTTGATGTAAGTTCATGGCAAAGCATTACTTTCTTATAATATGACAGAAAATTTATCTCATCAAACAAGTAGTTTGCAGAAATGTTCTTCCTAGCTTCAAGGAAAAGGAACTTATTGTATTTTAATTATATACACTTCAGGTCAACATGAGAGGACTTGATGGCATTCAAGGACCAATGTATGTGGGGACTGGATGTGTTTTCAATCGACAAGCACTTTATGGCTATAGCCCGCCTTCTATGGCGAATTTATCAATATCTTCATGCTGTTGCTTCCCCTCAAAATCCACCAAAGACGTGTCACGGGTTTCTAGAGACGCAAAGAGGGCAGAACTTGAAGCTGCCATTTATAATCTCAGGGAGATTGACAGTAAGCACGGTTAATTTAGCCTATCAGTTTTAGAGAAGCGTATAGCAGGATCTTCCAAGTGTAAACTGTGTAATATTCTTCTGGTTTCTTTTCTTTCTGCAGATTATAACGAGGACGAGAGGTCAATGTTGATTTCACAAATGAGCTTTGAAAAAACCTTTGGCTTGTCGACTGTTTTCATTGAATCTGCATTAATGGAGAATGGAGGAGGGGCACCAGAAACCGCAGATCCTGCAATGCTGATCAAGGAGGCCATTCATGTAATTAGCTGTGGATATGAAGAGAAGACCGAATGGGGAAAAGAGGTTTGACTTAAATGTTAATGTTAATGTTGTGCATTAATGTTCTTGATTAATCAACACATGTTCTCGTCTTTTCAGATTGGATGGATTTATGGATCCGTTACCGAGGATATCTTAACAGGTTTCAAGATGCAGTGCCGAGGATGGAGGTCAATCTACTGCATGCCCTTAAGGCCTGCATTCAAAGGATCAGCACCTATCAACTTGTCTGATCGGTTGCACCAAGTCCTTCGATGGGCGCTTGGATCAGTCGAAATTTTCTTAAGTAGACACTGTCCCCTTTGGTATGCAATTGGAGGAGGCCGTCTCAAATGGCTGCAGCGATTAGCTTATATAAACACCATTGTCTACCCTTTTACATCACTTCCTCTAGTTGCTTATTGTACTTTGCCAGCAATTTGTCTTCTTACAGGAAAATTTATCATACCAACGGTAATCTCCTAATCTTTATTTTTCGGTCTTAACAATCTAAATTGTACTAATGCTTTACATCATGTTGTTGTTTACAAATTGATACAGCTTTCGAACCTTGCAAGTGTTCTCTTTCTTGGACTTTTCCTCTCAATTATAGTGACAAGTGTGCTTGAGCTGCGTTGGAGCGGTGTTTGTATTGAAGATTTGTGGCGTAACGAGCAGTTTTGGGTGATTGGAGGTTCTTCAGCTCATCTGTTTGCTGTGTTCCAAGGATTTCTTAAGATGTTGGCTGGTGTTGACACCAACTTCACTGTCACTGCTAAGGCTGCCGAGGATACTGAGTTTGGCGAACTTTATCTTATCAAATGGACTACTCTCTTGATTCCACCGACAACGCTTATCATTATTAACATGGTTGGCGTTGTTGCTGGATTTTCTGATGCACTTAATGGAGGATATGAGTCTTGGGGACCTCTTTTTGGGAAGGTTTTCTTTGCCTTTTGGGTGATTTTTCATCTCTATCCATTCCTAAAGGGTCTCATGGGTCGACAAAACCGCACTCCTACCATTGTTATTCTCTGGTCAGTGTTGTTAGCCTCTGTCTTCTCTATTATTTGGGTCAAGATAGATCCATTTGTGAACAAAGTTGACAGTGAGACCATTGCGGAAACTTGTGTTGCTATAGATTGTTGAGTCACTTGAAGAGTTCTTTTTTGGAAATATATGTAAAAGGATGCATACATGGGATAATGATTTGATCAATTGCTTGTGCAAAGTCATAACTCATCATAAGGATTGGTTCTTTGTTGAAATGTGTAACCATATTGAACTAAGATTGGAAATGTATGTTATAAGCTTTGGACAAACTTCCTCTTTAAGGGTGTGCAGTAGCATATTGGCCTAAAATTAGGTAATGTCAAAAAAAAAGATGCTCAATAGCTTGAACTATTGATCATGTATCTATACTACTTGACCTATTTAAAAATTGAAGTATGATTCCTTGAGTCTGTCAATTTTTTATTATGTTTTATGAATATTTAAAAGTTTTGTTGCATAAAAGATTTTAAATAGCATTTCAAACCTAAAAAATTACAACGAATTAACGAATTGTATCATATGAAAAGAAAACCGATTCAACTAATCAAACTTGATATATCAAACTCGTTTTATATTTCATAGGAGCAAAAATGTCTCAAGTTTTTGGAAACCCTGTATAGGTTAGTAACAATTTAACCATGAAAAAACAAATAGAAGCACCACTTAATCACAATTTAATCCGACAAATATTTTATGAGGTTTTATTTACCTTTAGTTTAGTCTAGAGAAATTTAAGATCCTATGCGGTAGTTCGCCCTCAAAGACAGCCCTGCATATAAGAAAGAAAATATTTAAATAATAAAAATATTTATGTACATAATTTTACATCAACGCGGAATATACTTATAATACATACATCTAAGTTGTATTTTATACAATGTTTGATGGAGTGTTTGACTTTTGCTATTTAAATAACTCAACTTTTAAAAAATATTATTAAAATTCATCCAAATATTATTATCTTGAGAGTTGTTTTTTTTTTGTATTTCTTTATAAGAATACAAATTTTCAATTGTATTGAGTATATTATTGTATTCAGAAAATTAGAAAAATATAATAAAAAATCACGGTGACACAAAAACTATACATACGAGCTTCTCAAAATTACAACGAAAAAGGTCTTAAACGTGTGGTAGTCGTGAGTCGTAACCCATAAAACATTACTAAATATAGGTTTAGATATAACTTGCCCTTGCAAGAGGATGAATCATTATATTAACTTATCTCCCTGTAAACTTAAAAAGTACTTAAAAAGTTTATACCATTGATTGTTAACCATGTTTGGAATTGTCTTGGATCAAAAGCAACAAACAAAGCTAAGCAATGAAGTCCCAAATTTGCAAAGGCTTCTCTCATTCTCACTCCTCTCTCTTTCAAAATATGTGCCCCATCTCTATTTTAGTATTACTTTCCCATGCCAATCTTTGTACTCACTCTAACATCTCACTTTTCTAACCCTTGCTTCCATACTTCTTTCTCTTTCTCCCACATTCTCCCGCATTCTCTCTATCTTCCGTCAAGCTATGAAACCATCACCACCATCTCCATTACTTCCCATTCTCCTCTTCACCATCTTCTTCCTCCTCTTCCCCACCATTATCACCTCAGTTTCTCTACCTCTTCCACCAACACCATCACCTTCTTCACCCTCCACTTCCACTCTTGACACAATCCAGCTCAAAGCCCTTCAATCCCTCAACATCCCCACATCCAAAAACCCTTGCATCCAACCATCTTTCCACAATGCCACACAATGTGACTCCTCAAAACCCTTTCGCCACCTCATTTCCTTAACCCTTTCCAACTGTTCATCTTCCATTTCTCTCTCCTACAATGCCCTCAAATCCCTCTCCACACTCCAATCACTTCACTTCCTTAACTGCCCCATTGCCCCCATTCATTTCCCTCCTCAACTCACATACTCCCTCATCTCCTTCACCTCCATCAACAGCCTCCGCAAGATCTCAGGTGTATGGCTCTCTCACCTAGCAAATCTCACTGATCTAGCCATCTCAAATGTCCCAATAAAAGCTTCCGGTCCTTATGTTTTCCTCCCTCACATGAAAAAGCTCAAAACTTTAACCATTTCAAAAGCCAACCTCACTGGTTATCTTCCAAAACACATCCATTCCAACCTCACCCACATTGATTTTTCATCTAACAACCTCAAAGGAAACATACCCTCTTCAATTACCATGCTCGATAGCCTAGAAAGTTTGAATCTTTCTTCAAACAACTTCAAGGGTGAAATACCCTCTTCACTAGGAGACTTAATCTCCCTTAAAAACCTCTCATTGGCATCAAATTCATTCTCAGGATCCATCCCAGATTCAATTTCCGCCATACCCGATCTAACTCACATGGATCTAAGCTCAAACCAGCTCAATGGTACAATTCCAAAGTTCATATCAGAAATGAAGAATCTCAAGTACTTAAATCTTGCTAACAACAACCTACATGGAATTGTGCCATTCAACATGACTTTTATCAAAACACTGACAATGTTTAAGGTTGTCGGAAACAGTAACTTGTGTTATAACCATTCGGTTCTGTCTTCAAAACTGAAGCTTGAGATTGCTCCTTGTGACAAACATGGGATGCCAATGTCTCCTCCAACTGCTAAGGATTCTTCTGAAGATGACAGTAGTGACTCAGATTATGACGATGATGATGATGATGGTAGCATCCATAAAAGAGAACATCATCACGGGACAAATAAATTTGTACTTGGGGTGGCAATTGCTCTTTCGTCAATTGTCTTTTTGATTGTTTTCTTAATCCTATGTTCCAAATGCTGTCGCTGAAGAAACTTTTGTCATTTTTATTTTTTCAATTTATATGATTTTGGTTAGGAAAATTGATAATTTCAAATGATGCTTGTTTATTTTTTGTTATAACAAGTTATTGACAGCTTATACTACGTGCCGTCAAAAATTAATATTTATGTGGTGAATCATATGAATGAGGTATTGGTATCCAGCAAGATTTAATTAACTTGTGGTATAAGCATATTTATTCTTAACTTTTGCTTTATTCCGCGGCTTTGTTGATCCAATGATTTTTACTTTAGACTTTTGATTATTGCACCACGTTGGATTCAAGCAAGTTCAATCAAGTGTTTGGAAACTTATTTATGCAAAACATAAAACTGATTTTAGTATCATACACAGTTTTTTTTTTAATTTATTGAGTCATTATTATAATTCAGATACTATTCCGTATTAATTTATAAGCAAAAAAATTATATTTCATACTTATTAAAAACATAAAATTTTAGTGTATTTTCTTGAAATATGTTTTATAGAAAAATGTAAAACTAATTTTGATTGAGTATTGTCTAAAGAAAAAATGAGAGAGAAAGCAAATTAAATGCAGTTTGTATTTAATTTAATTTTAAAAAATATGAATTTTTTAGAATAAAATAATTAAATGAAATAAAATTAATATTTTTTATTTATAATTTAGAACAAGAAAAATGAATGTTTTTTACTTATAAATTAAGATGGAGGGAGTATGTCAATTGTTTAATGAATAAAAAAAAGTTTTATGTTATTTATAATAATAATCAAAGGGTGTACAATTTATTTTGAATTGTTAAACTCTCTCCATTTTAAAATAACGGATGTTTAAGGTTTTTAGATAATTTAGGTATTTTGAAATATATATATATATATATATATATATATATATATATATATATATATATATATATATATATATATATATATATATATATTTTTTTTTTTCAACACAATTTTATCTATTGATGATAAATTATGTTAATCTAACCCCTCCATTTTTTATATAAATCAATTTTGACTTTTAGATTCAGATATACATCAGATACAATTTTTCAAAGAATTTAAAAATTAAAATTTGTACATATGGATAGAGTAACTGTTAACTTAAATACTTTTTGTTAAGTAAATTAATAAATCATAAAAATTCTTAATTTTTGAAAAATACACTATCATAAAAATACACATTCTTAATTTTTGTTAAGTAAATTGTTAAGACATTTATAAATTCTTTAAATTTTTACAAATATGGTTATCAACATAATATATAATGATCTCTCAATTGAACTTATTAAAATTGTCTTTTATAAAATAAACTAATGGTTAAGTGTGTTAAATTTAATATTTATATGAATATGAGGTGATTTGAAAAAGCAACATGATTAAATTTTTTTATATATTATTTACCCCTATAAAATATGATAACATAAAAATACTACGAATGACACTTTTTGCCCTTAAAAATACTATGATCCTTAAAGATCTATGAATAACATAGAGGCTTTCCAAACAGTTAGTTTAGTATTGATTTTATCAACAATAAATTGAAAGTAAATAGGTTTAGGTTTACCCTTAAAAATAGAGACTCCCAAATAAACAAAAGGTACAGAGTCCACCCTGAAACCCAAAAGGTTGGCCAAATAAGAGTGCTTTTGAGGAGAGAGGAAGTCATCACACAAATTTGATTTTAAAGGGTTGATGTGTTTCCTTGAGGAGTCAACGTACTTCTTAAAGAGAATGTTGATGGTTTGGATGGAAGAAATATCCCCTGCTAAATAACATGATGTCATCAACAAAAAGAGTGTGAGATGAGACATTGACATTCTTGGTTGTCTTTATAAGTTTAATCTTGCCCTCAATAACTAAGGTGGTTAACCCTCTTCTTAAGACATCTTCTACAATGCACAAAATAAGTGGTGAGAGAGGGTCACCCTACCTAACCCCTCTCTTGCACTTGAAGAAACCTTTGGACTGACCATGGAGACAAATAGAGATGTAAGTTGAATGGAGAATGCAGTTAATACAATGATATAACTTTGATCTAAAACCAAATGGCTAAAGCAATTTAATGATGAAGTCCCAACTTAGGATATCAAAGGCCCTGGTTATGTTCACTTTCATAGTTATGTTGCCTCCATAAGACCTCTTGTGAAACATGTTGGCTACCTATGAAGTAAGACAAATACCATCTTTAATAGAAATGTCATGAACAAAGGCCTTTTGCTCCTTGAAAATGCTTTTTGGAATAACCCTCGACATCCTGTCTGCCTAATCTTTGTGATTATCTTGTGTTTGGAGTTGGCCATGGAAACAAGCTTGTACTTCTCAATTCAGTCTGCACCATCAACCTTATGGATTAGAATAAGAGTATTGAAGATGTAATTTGGCAGCATGCACCCATCTGTGAAGAATCACAGTGTGGCTTTTATCACATCCTCTTCAATAATTGACCAAAAAGTTTGAAAGAAAAGAGGACCAAAGCCATCAAGACCACCAACATTGTCATTGTTGAGGACAAAAAATGCACCATGGGTTTTGAAGGTTCAATTAAATATGAGAAACGAGGGGTTTGAAGATGTCTTAAGACAAATTGTCAATGACTTCTTAAGTATTCTGACAAAACTTAGTCACTCAAGGAACTTAACCAACTGGTTATATACAATATTTGTGTGTATACATGATTGCTTCTATAAGAAGCAGATTACACAAATTTAAGCTTTAAAATACATCTCTTTAAATGATTATAAGTATAAAGCTCGAAGTGTTTCTCTCTTTGTTGTTCTTGAATATCTTCTTAACACTTGCTCTTTTTCTTCTTGTTGGATATTCTTTTTGCTTAATTTGCAGCGTGTTAGTTTGTTTCTTCAGTTTCATGTATTTCTTAGTTGAATATCTTCACTGATCTTCTTCATTTTTTCTCTTCTATAAAGTCTTGCACATATATTTTTTCTTGTATGCATTTTTTGTCTGTGCAGCTTCATTATCTTTTTTTTACATTCTTTCAAGTCCTCTTTAAATAGGTAAAGAAATAGACCCGTTGAAGACTAAAATAATGAGTATCCATAAAAAATAGTTGTTGGAGACGTCGGCTAGTACTAGACTAGACTGGCACTTGTAGCACTAGGAAAGATGATGGGACGAGTGAAAGCAACGATGGTATAAAGTATAATCCTTTATCTGAATTTTTAAAATAGTGAATATTATATTATATTGTTGTCATGTGATCTTCTTTTGTCATGAATTTCTTATGTGAGGCTTTATATGAGTTATGATGAAGCTTGATCAGAGTTCAGAGTTAATATCTCTCTTCATAGTCAACTTTTTGAGTCAGAGGCTTCTGATAAAATTAGATGAAGTTTGTTTATAGTATCTTCAGATCTTGAGAATGTTGAGACTTTAGAATCTTGAATCGTCAGAGTCATTCTGGATAAGAACCTTTCAAGATTTAACTTGATGCTTTCAGATGTAGATTTTCTTGTAAACACATCTTTGTATTCATCATTGTTTCATAGTGCTTTTGATATCCTGAGTCCAGAGTTGCTCGTTCAGAGTCCAAATCTTTCACTAGTCCAGAGTCCACAACTTTCTAGCCTAGAGTCCAAAACTAATTATTAGATCATGCGCACTTAGAAAACCGTTAGAGTACAAAATTATTATCCATACATTGATACTTTTCTATCACAAAGACTCAATGATTAGTTGTAGAACCAAACTTATTTCAAAAAAATTCCTCATAAAAAGGTAACATGGTGAAAAGATTGCTGGCTTGATTATTGACTAGTTAGGGAACCACTTTTTCCACTAGGTTAGTATCTGTTAGTTCCATGGTTTTATGATTGGATAAATTTTGTTAAAACATGGTTCTATATTAATGTTGAGCAAGATGTTGTAACATCTTCATCAACTGTCATAACAATTTTACTGTTAAGTGTTTCAGACAAATGTCAAAGACAAATGTCATGACATCTTGGTCTGTGTACAGCTAGCGCTACTATTTTATATCTCTTAACGAATTTAATTTGATTTGATGAGATCCTTTTGAATATACCGCATTATTATGCGCATGTCAATGAGATTATTTAGGAACAAAGTGTAGATTTGATTTGTTTCACTAAAAAGGATCTTTGAGACTTTTTAGGAAACTATAAAAGATTTGTTCCTATTTTTATGTGAAGATCTTGCAGCTAATTTAAAAATTGAAGATTGGACCTGATTTAAAGAGTCCAAGCCCATTCTTCAAGAGTCTATAAATAAGGAGCTGCTAGACTTAAAATAGAAAGCATTCACATTGAAGAAACCGTGCGTGCAACATAACGTTTAAGGTTTTGGGAGTCTTTTAAGTTCTTAGTGTTTGTATTCTTTGTCTGTCACTCATATATCTTTGATGCATTGAGTTGAATGATTGTTGCTTGTTTATCAAGCTATTGTTCTCACTCATGAGCATTAATCAAAAAGTTTAGTATTGTTCTTAGTTGAAGCTTTTAAGCAAAACTAAGTAATGTTTATTGGAAGTGTAATCTTATGTTGGGTTTTTAAAGTCTAGTCAAAGGTTTGTGGTTGTAGGTATATCACTGCGGTGATTGGAAGTGAGATGGGGTTATATCTAGTGGTCTCTAGGTAGAATTTGCACAAGGTTTGATTAGGCGAGAAGTTGTAAACTAGGGTTGGTTTAACTTTGATATAATATTATCATAGTGTATTTCCTTTCTGGCTTGGTATCCCCCAGAGTAGGTGATGTTGCACCGAACTGGGTTAACAATTGATTGGGTTATTTTAATTTCTGCAATTTATCTTTCTGCACAATCAACAGTTTTAGCAGATTTTCTGTCAATAGATGTCATAACATCTCTCCTGACATCGTGTTTCTGTGTTAAGACATCAGTCTTAACCTTTATATTGCAAGTTCCAAAATTTCAATTGGTATAAGAACAAACACCCGATTCTTTCTATTGGTTGAGCTCTAGGGAGACTATTTTTTGGTACTATGGATAAAGAAGGAGGATACA